GAATTTAACCAAACTAGAGTATCAAGCATACCAACGACTGGAAAACTGTAGAGAATGGACGAAATCGTTACCAAAATAGATCCGATTCTACGCTTTCTCGGCAGTCGGCACCGGAAACTTGAGATGAACCATAGACGGAGCAGAGCGAGGACCAAAGGAGATCCCCCATCCAGTACCTGAGGCGTTGATCTATCGAGTGAGATGATGAAAAGTCAACGCGCAATTGAGAACCTACTATCAAGGAGAGGTTGAGTGGCTGCCGACGCGAAGGTGAGAGAGCAGCGAGAGCAACGACAGAGTTAGGGCGGACGGTGAAGGCTCATCGTGGTCGGTGAGAAGAGTGCAGACCAAATTCAATTCAAAATTGAAATTCGAGGGTTTTAGGGTGAAATTGAAATGCACTGTATTTACTCTTGAGAATTACTTTGTTAAAATACATGTATTTCATTCAAATTCAATTACATTTTATTTAGGTAAAAACAAGCAGTAAAATTGAATTTGATAACTACAAATTCAAATACATACTGCCAAATTCAAGTTGCCAAACAGAGCATAAAATAAATTTGTTTAAAGTTTATTGAATTTCAAATTATTCAATTTTGCGGCTTATTTTATTAGCATGATGAAATGGAACCCCTTGGTCATTTCTTTGTGGTACATTTGATAATGATAAATTACATAGGAGGGAATAGCCCTTCTATTTCCCTAAATTTCTCTTCACTTAATTTAAAATTTAAATTTAAAATTTTCAATTTAAAATCTTAAACTCTTAGTTATTGAACTTACTCGTTGAAAGCGAATCCCTTACTAATTAGTTAAATACGAAAATAATATATTTTTAATGTTATATAATATTATTATTTATAAAAATATAAAAATACTATATTTTTATATAATTAACTTTCTTTTGTTCAAAAATTTACTCATAAAGTTATGTCACTTTTCTATAAATTTAAAATAAGGGCATCTAATAATAATATCTCTCACAAATGTAAAATGTGATAACTAAATTAAAAATTCTCAATAAACAAACACGGAGAGATTATCATTTGCTATTTCAAAATCCAGCCCAAAGATTCGGTGGGTTGGAGATCCATAAATTCTGATCTAACAAAGAAGGAAAGAAAAAGTCCAGGACCCAATGCCCACATCTCGACCTCTGTGGATTTATCCATCTCCAATATAAATCTCCCTGATCGTCACGATTATTGCACTTTTACAGTTTTACCCTCCGTATTTTTCACTTCAGCAGTCTTCTCACCCAAAAACTTTGCTCCTCCTTCCTTCGCAACGCGTAATGGCGAGAGGTTCTTCACAGTCCCAAGCCTCCACCACGTCCTCTGGGAGGTCTGGCGTCATGGCGCCGCGAGGATCGGCAGCAGCCACAGCCGGTATGCGCCGTCGCAGGCTCACTGGAGGTACTGTCTCGTCAGGCTCTGGCGCCGTCGGGTCCGGCACCAGCAGCAATATGCTGCGCTTCTACACTGACGATGCCCCTGGCTTGAAGATCTCTCCCACCGTTGTCCTTGTCATGAGTCTCTGCTTCATCGGCTTTGTCACCGGTCTCCATGTCTTCGGCAAGCTCTATCGCTCCAAATCCGAGGCTGGATCATGATTCCATCGCCCGAAGACCGGTCCTCTTTTAGATCTCCCATCGGTTCGTCAATCGCTAACCGAATGTCGCGTTCCTTTTTTCTTTTGTGTAATGTTTTTGTTTTAGCTCTGTAAATGATGGCAGGATTGCAGTCTCAAGGTTTTGTTTATGAATTTTTCTCCAGTTCTTGTATGTTTTTACTCTTCAAAATAGACAGTTGAGGTTTTCGATTTCCGCAATTTTCTTCTAATGGTTACAGGTTTAGATCCTTTGGCTTCTGTATGGATTAGGATTTTGTTGTTGAATTGATTCTTGTTTGAAATTTTTGCAGACCATCATTTTCTCATGAGCTGTTTATCATTTCCATTTTATGACTCCATGAGCTCCAATTTCTTGATTGAGCTCGCAGAATGTCTAGTCTTCTTTCTTTTTTTATTATAGCAAATTTACAGCATAAAATTACAGAATACTTGATTCATCCCTAAGTTCCTTATCCGCAATGTTAGTAGTTAGTTAATTTTATTGTTATTCCTTTCATTGGAGACCAAATTTGGTAATAATAGCTTTATAGCTGTGAATTTTGGGCCTTTTGAGTAAGATGTTTGTTTCATTCTTTTCTGTGTTAGTTTGCATGTAGTTGTGTCGTGGAAGGCTTCTTTGTTTCAATTAATCATCCTGTTATCTCTTACTGAGTATGGAATATGGATGTATTCATTTCAAGCGCTCTGAGTTTCATGACCAAATTTATTCAACAATGTAGCCGCATCTCTGGTTCTTCTTAGCAGTTTCTGCCAATAAGGTTTAAATTATCAAAGGGCTTTGAGATTTCTTGCATATGGCATAACCTGCAGGCTGCAGCACCATTGAACTTTATTTGTACGCTCTACTTTGAAATTTGGAGAAAAATGCTGAATATGTTCCCTTGGCATTATCTCATTTTCTTTTTTCTATCTTTGGCTCCAAGTAATTTTGTGAGGAAAGCATCATGTTAACCTAGCTACTTCTTTCTCTAAAGGTCCTGCATATCTTTAGAGGTAGACACTTGCTCATGACATTTTTGAGGGAGCACCTACTGCAGCAATTTTTTGGGTGAGAGCCAGAAGTAGGCGCCAAACAGGCAGCAATTCATTTATTGATTCAAGATCTTATAGGCAGAATCTTCACTTCAGATTATTTCCAACAAAATCTATTTTTCTTTATCAGTAGATTATTGATTATGAGTTAATTTCAAGCACATGAATTTGGGTTGTTTAAGTTTCTGACATTTAATGACTTGCACTCTGAAACTATATAGTAATATATGTCAATAAAAGTTGAAAGATGTTAGTTCTCTAATGGTCATTAACTAAACTTGTTTGTGTTTTTTATTATATGTTTTCCTGTAATACATGTTTTTTGGAGGCTATTGACATGCATCTTATCTAGCTACTGTATCATATTGTCAAATAAAGTTTGCAAGTACTACAGTTATGTTTCATCCAACACATAGAGTTTTAGAAATGAGGTATTGACTAGCATTTTTTATCTAAGATATATTGGATATCAATCTGAAATGAGGTTACATCATCACCCTCTTGTCCATCTTGTATATGAACCAGAATTAATGAATAATGACTATATTTTATATATTCATGTAATTGAATGAAATCATATTGGAGTTTATGCCATGCTATGATTGAACATGAAGATGAGGAAACATAAAGCCTAGATGCTGAAGGTATCTGCTTTTGCATGAGATTAGATTAGTGCCTCTACCAAAGATGGTGTTTTAGTCATTGTGTTCATATTTGCTTTGTCTTTTTCTATTGCAGATTGGCAATTTGTGAGTGAATGCCTTGTTCTTGTATGTTCTGAACCCAGAAGTGAGGTATTTCGGGAAATATGATGGGTTGGGATTTGATTGTCCCAAGATGGAAGAGATTTGGACTGTATTCACAAAAGCAGAAAGTGAGG